CAGGATTATTTCTAAGAAACCTCGGTAATAACAGCTGAGATGAGCACACTATAAAACTTACACAGATGGACTTAAAATACTAAAAACCCCACAGTTTGAAGCAACTATGATGGAGAAAATATTGTAAAATAAAGTATACTGGAAAATAAGCTATAATACCTGTCAGTCACTTTTTGCTCTTTCAACAAAAATATTAACAGCTGGAGAGGAAGCAGTTCTCCGGATTAGATTAACTGCAATGGTTTTAACATTAAACTCTAACCTTAAACACCAATAAAAGGTAATCTTCAAACCTCTAAGCTATTAATGATCTCCTTTCTTTGCTAGAACTCAGCAAAGCAATCTATACTGCCTCACTCCAAATCAGAGTTCTTGTTCTTATTTACAGAGCCGTGAAGCACTTGAGTAAATGACTGTGCTGTATATCACAACATGGTTCGGAACTGGTGAGAAAACTAAACAAGACTTCTTGCAGACAAGGCAACTGAGTGAAGTGACAACTTTAAGAAGGTATCAGTGAAACCACCACTTGAGAAATCAATCATTCCAAGAGCTGTTGCTTAACAACTGTGTTGCTAAGAGTTCATTCTTCACACCTATATATTTCCATAAACAAGCCACAAACAAAGGAAAAAATAATTTTGGTTGCACGTAAAAATAAAAACCTTCAATATTTTGAAGATGGAATTTTTATTTACTTGCAAAATTCTGACATTGCTATTGACATTAAATGTTATGCTCTATTTTCTACATCTCAAGTACCAGCAAGGGCATTGGTAGCCAATACTGCACAACATTATGAACACTCTCCATTGGCTTCCCATGTAATTTTCCAGAGCTGGTTTTACAAAAACTGGTATCAACCTTGGGCCAAGTTCAATAGAAAGCCTGTGGTTTGGGTTGTATTATTTTTTAATTTAAATGACCACCACTGCAAATTTCTTTAGAATCATTTGTCAAAACTAGCTTTTAGAGAAGATTTTATCACCTCGAAAAAGCTGCACTGAAAATTAAAAATATTTAAGAAAAGCCTGCAGAACTGAAGTAATGTATTTGTTCATTACCAAAATCGGTGACTGCCAGATTGCAGTTACAAACTATACTTTTTGGCAGATGCTTAGCTTGCTATCATTCAGCTGTTGAACCACAGATCCAGCTTGCATCACCCAAGACAATTATACAACAACAGGCAGGTTTTTACTGCTTACAGCTCACACAGCAAACTTGTTTCTTCTGACTTTCAGAGTTTGTATGGATCCTTCTCTTCCAGGAAAACAGTTACAGGGCTTACTGGAAGTTCTACTAAATAATGCAGGAGTGGGGTTGGTATTTTTTGATTTTTCACTTCTTATCACAGTGGTAATACACAACCAGTCAAAGCCAGTAAAACTTGTAGTTCACTGTATGAAACAATCTTGTTCTCCTAAATACTATATTCCTAACTATAGTTACTATATTGTAACTATATTCCACTTCTACCACTGTGAGGAAGTGTTAGAGCTGAAAGGAAGAATCAGTTCACTTACCACTGACCTGCAACTGTTCTGTACTTGCAGGAAACAAGCCACACAACAAGACCCCCAAAATAAATGCTGGTGGTGCAGGATGGACATGATCTGGCAATGTGCTCTTGCATCCCAGAGAGCCAATTGTATCCTGGACTGCATACAAAGCAGTGTGGGCAGCAGAGTAAAGGAGGGGATCTGCCCTCAACTCCACTCTGGTGAGATCCCACCTGCAGTGCTGCATCCAGCTCTGGGGTCCTCAGCACAGGAAGGACTTGGACCTGTTGGAACAGCAAAGGATGGCCATGAAGATGATCAGGGGGCTGGAGCACCTCTCCCATGAAGGCAGGCTGAGAGAATTGGGGTGGTCTAGCCTGGAAAAGAGAAAGCTCTGGGGAAACCTTACAGCACTTTCCAGTGCTTAAAGAGGTCCTACAGGAGAGCTGGAGAGACTTTTCATAAGGGCATGTAGTGATAGGATGAGGGGAAACGGTTTTAAACTGAACAAGAGTAGGTTTAGATTAGGTACTAGGAAGAAATTCTTCACTATGAGTGGGGGTGACATACCGGCACAAGCTGCCCAGAGAAGCTGTGGATGGCTCATCTCTGGAAGTTCAAGACCAGATTGGATGGGGCTTTGAACAGCCTGGTCTAGTGAAAGGTGTCCCTGCCCATGGCAGAGCACTGAAACAAGATGATCTTTAAGGCCCCTTCCAAACCAAACCATTCTATGATTCTATGATATTTTCATCTTTGTATTATATCTCTTACCCCATCAGAACAAGTCTCAGAAGAAGGTAAAACTTAATACTGTTTAAAGTATTTTTAAAAATAAATGCCAACAGGCAATTTTATAGATTCTTTTGATCTAGTTTCATTATCCCATTTTGAACTAACACTGATGACTTACACCATTTTCAGACCAAGAACTACAATTCTGGTTACTAGATACGTTTCTTTATCAGACTTGGCTGTGAGATCAGCTTCCCCAGCACTTCCTTTTCAAAACTATGAAAACATCTCTAAAAGCCATGAAACAGAATATCATGCAACATTCCAATCCTTAAAGTAAGACTACTTTTGACAAAGACTCAAAAAATTTTAGCAGTTTTCACAGTTTAGGAATGGTATTCTCCCATTTAGTGTTTCATCCAAAACACTCCAAAACATGTGCCACTTGCTCGCTCCTCCCTTCCCCTCTTGGGGCTGAAGAGAAGAATTGGAGTCGCAAAAAGTGAAGATCGTGGGTTGAGATAAGACCAATTTACCAGAAACAGCAATGAAATAAGAAAATGAACAGCAACAGCAACAACATTAATAACAGAAGTCTACAAGGGAAGTGAGCAATTCCCATGCAAGTGCTTACCCCTGCGTCAAAGGGAGCCCAACAATAGCTTACCACTGCCAGGAAGGGACCCCCTTACCAATTCTTGGAAAATGACCTGAGGTGGCATGGAATAACCTCTGGGTCTTGGCCATGCCTCTCCTGGCTGCTACAAAAATCAACCCTGTCCTGGCCAGGGACAGTGTGTTTAAGGCAACACACTCCCCTTTACTACCTGAAGTAGTAATACGTGTGAATCAACCCTGTCCTGGCCAGAGCCAGGTTTAAGGCAACACACTCCCCTTTACTACCTGAAGTAGTAATACGTGTCATGCCTTATCAAAGAAATCTTGATTCTATACAAAACAAGTGTCTTAGGGTACAACCATCTATAACAATTATTTAGATTGGAGGGTGGAGAGGGAGCATGTCTCTGCTTGCTAATTCCTAATGAATAGCATTTGACTCCAATTAAAAACTGGTAGAGATATGGGAAAATCCCTACATTTTCAAGCAAATTGTAGCAGCAAGTAGATCTCAAATGCTCTCCCAAGACTGTTACTCTGACAGAACACTGGGCATCCTACCTTTCCATTAACAGCGTATTTTGAGAAATAGATCTGGTTATATCTAAATATTGTTGAAGAATGGAGAAGATTGTCACCTTCACCTCCAGCCCATATGGTCAAAGCAAAATGATTAAAAATCAAACTGTCACAAACAATGTTATCTAACTCAGGGTAAATCTATGCTTTGATAATAGGAACAGCAAAATAACTAACGCTAAAATTATTTCTTTTCATTAGAGACCTTTCTTGTCTCCACATACCCTTGGTGCTTCTTAGGTGAGGAATCTGAACTAGCCAGGAGCACTGGAAGGAAATATTTTTAATTGGTGAACACTGAAACTAGGTTTGAAGTTAACGTTCTTACCTTCAGGAACAACAGAGTACAGAATAAGAAATGGCACTCTTTGTCACACTTTTAGTGCTAATGAAGAAAATGTAAATCCGAAAACACAACTTACAGATCACGGCAGTACTGACATTTTGTGAAGGTAAGGGGAAATCAATCTTTTAGTTCAGATAAAAACTAGAACCAGACTAGTAACTCTGAAAATCACACACAGAAGTTCAATTACTGTCTAAAGCAAATCATAGTTAAGAACTTATCAGGGAACTGACAGCAGAATAGGCAAAATTAATGAGCACTGGCTTCAGGTGCACACTGCTTTACAAGCACTGAATGCCCAGCTGAGGAGCACACCTGCCCCACAGCACCAGTGCAGCCTGTGATACATTCTCTACAGATGTCCAGAACTCCAGTCCCAGCACTCAGCTGTCTACTTTCACCTTGCATGTCAGCTTTCCAGGTCTGATTTCACACTTCAGTCACACTCATGCTGAATAGACTAAAATTAGAAGCTGTTTTGCTTATACTTGAGCCTCTTCCTCAGTGATAGCAATAATTTGGGATTCTCTGTCATCACACACTAGAATTTATGGACTGATAACACTAAAATTTTGTGATCTTAGCTGAATTTGTATCAGTAGGTCAGAAAAACAAACAAAACTGATAGAAAGGTTTATGATCACACTGTGCTGTCTTTATCCATTTTTTAAAAACAGCACTATTTTGACTTCCTAAGGGTTTTTTTCTTTATTATTGTTTTTCATGCAGGCGTATGTGATCCCTTCCCATCCTAAGTCCTCAAGGTTAAAGTCCTACGGCCAATATGATTATGTACAAAGTAATTCACTTTATAAAAGTTCACTGGTATCAGCAATAGTAGTAATACAATAGTATTCAGCAACAAGTATTCATCATCATATAGATTTACATAGCATTGCTACAAAACCAGAGCATTCCTATGAAGTTCTAGATGTCAATATAAAGAAATACACATTTTTCTAGACTGTTAAGAAAAAACCCACAACACTGAGCTATCTAGTTATCCCTAGATTTTGTGTAAGAAAATACATTCTCACTCAGTATTGTATTTTCAAGTTTTTTACATTTATAGTATACAGTTCTATCAAATGTTTAGTAGTCTTCACTTTTAAGCTACTATTTTAAACAGAATAGTCTGTAGATCAGACAGAAAATTTTTGCTGAGAATGAATTGCAAAGTAAATTATCTTTCCATTGATAGCCCACAGGGCTATTTTTTGTCACTTTTTCAAAAGGTTTTATTTAAGCATACACACAAAGAGCATATATTACATTGTTCTATGTAAAAAGCAAACAACTCTCCACTGCCAAAGCTGGTGTTTCACACATGGATGGGGAGAAAAGGATTAAATAAACTTGAGAGGCCATTTGTTTTCATAAGTTAATTTCTGAGAAATTAATGAACTTGAAACTGTGTTTATCCTTACCTAAAAGGTAAGGTAAATTCCTATCATCAGCAGCTACTGTCATCTAGAACAGAACATGGTACAAAATCATTAAACACATTACATGAACCCAGATTTCAAGAGAAAAGATCTTCCTGAACATGGCTCATGGCACTCTGAACAAACATCAGTGCATGGATAAAGGTTTAGACTTTGAAAAGTATTAAAATCAGAACTTTTCTAAGTTTTTATAATTGGCATAATTTTGCAAGAGCTAGGAGTTACAAATTCTGTAAGTTTGCACAGAAGTTACTCTCAAGCATAATTACTGCATTTTAAACTACCTGAAAATATATTCCAATCTTCTTGGAGTAATTGCCCAAGTAATTTTTTTATCCTGCAGATTAGAATATGAAATGCTGTTTCAGAACAAATCAGTAAGACGGAACAGATACGGCACATGCAGCCAGATTAACACTGGGGAAACTTTAAGCAGTCTAGCTTTAAGTAGGCTGTTAATAATGTACTTCAACTAACCTCAATTTAAAAACAAAAGAGGGAGATACTTGAGACTGTTCCCGAAATCAAACTTATTTAAAAACTCCCAAGCAACCAAAACCAAAAACAACCACACAGAAACCAAAACAAACACAACCAAAGAAACCAAAGCTCTTTTTCCAATCTTATTTTAGAACAAAAGAATGATTTTTACATGTTTTGTACTCTCTGACAGAGAATCTGTGAAACCAAAACATGCCCTGACAAATTGAACCCCTGCTGAGAAGCATTCATAGTCATAAACTCATTTATAATGTGTTATGTGGGAGATGCCAAGTTGTAACAGTTGAAGAGTCAACTACATGGAATGCACCAACAGATTTATGAACGACAGTAGCAGTTACTCACATGTTCATGGCAGCTAACTGTTCTTTAGGAATTAGGTTTCCCCATATAAATTAGAAAACTACAAAAAGTCAGAAATGGAAGAAACCTCCATTGTCTGTAAAAGTTCAAGTGAAAACACCTTTGCAGCATTTTTCTTAGACAATAGCATATTGCTCATATAAAAGGTCTCTTATCCTGTAGAAGTCCTGGCAGAGGCAGCCTTCCAATCCAATACGCCCTGTTTCAGTCTGAAACAAAAGACATGTTTCAATTTGTTATCTTAACATTAAAGACAAACTTCTTTTATTACTAAAATAATATTTTATTTATTACTAAAATAATATGTATTATTTTATAATATTATTTCTCAAAGAGATTAAAACACAGAACACCTACCCTGCGGACAGCTACCAGGTTGTTGCACACAAGCACTCCTCCAACAAATTCAGCTTGTATGCCTTCCCGCAAGAGAACCTGCTTGAAGTCAGACAGTCTTGGCTCATTCATAAACACAGATTGATGCCCAAGAACCTTTAAAACAACACACACAATTTTACTTCTTCTATTTGACACCTTCCATTTTCCCAAAGATCTCATTATTGCGTTGGCAGCACTGCGGCCAAGACTACAGAACTCTAAACTGGTTCTATTTCTGTTCACCTGCAGCAATACATCTTGAGGACAGAAAAGCCTTAGAAGTTACCCATCACAAAAAGCAAAGGGTTTTTCTTTGCTCACATATTGAAGACAAATAGAAAGCTACAATGAAGATCCCTCTTCCAAACCATGCTATGCCAGGGACCAAGCTCTGATGAGCTGTACTGCTGATCAGTACAGGGTGCTATGAGGGCTGCCATGAGTCTGAACAGACTTTAGAGTTGTCTCCACAATTCTCTAGCTCCCAGAACAGACTACATTTAGGACTGTGAAACAGAGAATCTTAAAAAGCATCTCCAGGATTAAAAGGTACTGGAATAATTCAACAGAAAGATAAAATAGTTATCTCCTAAGTTTAAGTAGTTTAAGAGCTATGGTAAATTTATAGAAAAGATAAATTTAATAAACTCTCAAATCACTACTATAGAAGCAGATGTATGAATGTCAAAGATCTGTATCTCAAGTATATGAAGTATCTTCCATAGCATCAACAAAATGTAATAAAATCCTCAAGTGACTAACACCAACTGATTTTCTCTATCTGCATGTACTAATTACAGATATGACACACACTAATTAAAATCTTATTTCATAAATATATGGTTAATGGATGCAAAAGATCATCCTCACTGAAAAGCATAAAAGCTGAACAAAGAACAGCACCAGGTTTAACAAAGAGAAGCCCAAAAACCCAGTTTCAGTTACGCTTTCATTTGAGTAAGATCACAGTATCAACCTCTAAGCACTAGAAAAACACAAATGAATACAAAGGTCTTCATAAAAGAAATCCAGAGCAGTATCATCATTTCTGTACCTCATGAGGTGGCAGAGGTTCCAAAGTCGGAATGATTTCGCTCTCCTCACACATCTCCTTGTCATCATCACCAAAGAGGCTTTTCATGGCCTTTTGTTGTGCAATCACACTAGAGTCTGAAGAAGGCACATCCACTTGCATTTCTAAGTCTTCATCTTCCCTCAACTCTCCCTCTTCCAAAATAACTCCAGTATCCACTTTTGAAACCCTCATGTCCAGAACGCCATCTATCCAAGCCAACTCAGCATCCTTGGCTTTACAGAACTGAAGAGAGCTGACAAGAGAATCTTTCAACCTGACCTGGGTTGTACAAAAATAAAAGTACTGTTAGTTTCAAGGAAAATACAGAGGTCTTACTTCAAGCTTTAAAGATCAGCAAGTTTCTCTTCACCATCTTTTCAGTTGGTTTGATTCATGCACTCTTGTGGAGAGAAAGGATGGAACTGGTATCACCAAGGCAAGATACTTTAAAATTTAATATATGTAACACTCATATCACAACTTAAAAAGCAGCAGAGATCAACACCTTTCTCATCTTGGATAAAATTAAAAAAGAACCTATAGAACTGCAAACTTGACTTAAATTTACAGCAAGAACAATCATTTATTTTTAAAACCAGAAACCTTTTTTACAGCCAAGTTGTTCCCCAGTTGGTCCTAGCAAATTCAGAGGATGTTTCTATAGATACATTTAGGTTGCTGATGAATAGTTCAAAATTTCAATCCTCCGAAAAAATTGTAATTATTATTTTATTGTAAGAAAGGATGTTGTAAATACGAGACTTTTGAATGCCTTTGCCCTGATTCCTCTGGTGGACACTGGGACTTTAATCCTTTAAATAAAGCTCTACTCTTAGAGATTGTTATCCACATTAGAAGGTCCATGATTCCCATAGCGCAATCAAGGCTGCAACCATGTGAAAGAACCACCAGCTACCCACCCATGTGCAGCACAGCCCACTCAAATGACACTGTGACACTGACACTTCACTCACACCTATTATTTTCAAAGTCAACTTTGCCACTGCACTTCTCCTGGGTCATTTCTTACACACTAGCAACTCTCATAGCCTTAAAAAAACAAACAAAAAATCCCAACAACAAACAAACCACAAGCAGAAAACAAACTGCTTTAAGGCTGCCATAACTAGATGATTTATAATAACTGGAATTTTCTACTTTCTAGAGGATAACAGATTTTTCTCTGGAAAGAAATAGAAGTACCTCTTTCAACAATTCTACCAATGTTTTTCTATTAACTTTAAAAGAACAAAGGAATAAAAGACAGCTGCAAAAAAATGTTTGTGAGAGACTTCCCTCTAAACAACTTCAAAAATTAAATTACGAACATACACAATTTTCACATAATTCACACAAGCTATTGCAGCTTTCTTATTTAGAATGTACTATATTGCATTTAATTTTCATGGCTAACACACAGCAATACATTATCATAACCTTACTTTCCAATAACCATCATATTAAGTTTTTGGGGGGAATGGGTATCTTATTTGTTTTTATCATTAACTTGTTCCTAATTTTACATGTTCACTCTTAGGTACTATTTAAGTATGAAGCATTTTTTTATTCTAGCTCTTTAAGGCTCCATTTGAGATTCTAAAGAGAATCCTCAACTGAAGCTGGTATATAATTGTATTCTAAATATAGGCATTATAAATTTGTACATACTTCAATAAAGCAAACTGATGCCCCTGTGGCCACAAATGTTGTCTTTTGCACTTCAGGTAAAAACACACTGATATCACATTCAAGCTTTCAAACACTTATGAATAATAAGCCTCAGGAGAATGCTTATCTAAAAGGCAGAAAAACACAACTAATGCCTTGATCACACAAAGCTAATTGAACTCACAGGTGGTACCACCTCTCCTCTCGCAAAGAACAGAGGGCAAATTACATTCTGCTCATACAGCTCTACTACAGTCCACAGTAGTTACACAACTAAAAATTCCACTACCTTACCTGGTAAATGTGAGTTTCACTTGTAGCATCTACAGTTTCATGAAGTTTGGGCATGTAAACTTTAATATCTTTTCCACCAAAAGCTCTGCAACATTCTGCAAGGTCCTGACTGGCCTCAGGTGGTCCATGGACAATCACCAGTTGTCTTGGTTTCATTTGGTTAATAATTTTTTTAATTGAGTCCCCATCTGAACGTCCTTCATAGTCAATGTATGTAACTCTGGCTCTAGTTTCAATAAAAAACCCAGCAATAATATGTTTAGTTTAAAGGATTAAACCTTTGCGTGCTCCAAAATACTTAGTTAATGTATTTTTTAATTATTGTACATCAACAAAAACTGTCAGCACAAGGTATATTATGGATCTGTAAAATACAGTTGTCAAATATTAGCATGTGTGTATTTAACACTACATTCACAAAATTCACTTACATATTTATAAAAAAAAATTATCCATGAAATAAGCATATTTGAATATGTTATCCTTTCAACAAAACATACTTAAGTATCTATGCTAATGTACTATTATATAGTTTCTTCTATCTCTTCCAGTTGTCTCCATAAGACAGGAAGTACACCAATTTTTTTAAGAGTCGGGAGCCATAAGACTCTTCTGTGCTCCCAGGAAGACTAGTAAAATACAACTTAGGTTGAGGAAAAAAATAAACAAAAATCAAGTCCTTTCCCACTTTCTTAAATCCAAGCTAGCCTTTTACCCAATTTGCACTGTACCCATGCCAGTGCTCTAGAATTGAGAAGAACAAAGTCACTCACTTAATTTCCATGGATTCTGTTGCAGAAATACATTTGGTAGGAACATCTGATAAATCCTGGTCCGTAGGCTCCTCTCCATTTGTCAAACCAGACTCTAATTTGCTTTTTTCTTCTTCTGTTGCTTGAAGCTCTGGAACTAGAAAATCCTCAGGTCTAAAGAATTAAAGGTATTTTGCTTTTTAGAGTAAAACCAAAGCACTACCTAATATAAAAACAAACAGTGCTGATTATTACTACTAATATTTTTTGCAACTGTTATTGCCAGCAATTTTACTACACCTGCCAAATATTTCCATACTTGAACAGAGCTGATTTGGAAAAGATGACCTTCCCATCTTAAAAAAGAACTTGAATAACTTAGGAAATACTAGCAAATTGAGGATTTCTAGCAAGTATTCCTTATGCAAAGCTGACAAATTCAGTGAATTTTGTTAGGATGGACAGTGTTTTCTCACCTCACAAATTTAACATTAAGTGAAATTTAAAGCAGAAAAAAGTCAGGTTAAAAGAATTTAAAATCTTCTATCTCAAAAGATTTAAAAAAAAAGCCTGGAGTGAAAAGGTCAAGGATCAGCACTCTGCAGCTTCAATCCTTATCATAAGCTTTGTCTAAGACTTAAGAGTTTGAAGAGCATATAGCAATGCTGCAAAAGAGACAGAATGGTGAATTTAATTCCTTCTAGTTTTTGATTATTTCATAGCTACTATGTTAGTATACATTACCACCACATACTTGATAATTTCACCATATTCATCCCATTTAATTCTTTCTTCAGGAGCTGGAAACATTGGGTAAGATTTTTTTGCCTGTTTGAAGAAGCTTCCTTTCCGGCTACCTTCACCTTTCATCATCAAATCATGTTTGGTCTTATGTAAAGTTGGCTGATCAATATCCTCTTCAGCATCACTCTCATCACTGGAATCAATATCTGCCCTGAAATGACATTCCAAAAACACCTAGCACTTCTTTTTTTTCTTCAGGTTTCATATTACATAAACATGCTGACTAGAAAATAACAGTTGACATAACACTAACCAAGGCCAAGGGCAGTTTATGTATCTGAGAAAGAGCTCACAGTCCAGCTGCAGATGAAACTGGGTCTATCGGGACAACAGATTAAAGACAACCACTCCTGATTCCTCAGGGCCCTCAGACAAGGCTACTGAAACTCTAATTCTCATTTAGGCCTGAAAAGAGTTGAAGGAGCAGAATAATCACACAGAAATCTCAACTCTGACCATAACAGCAGAATGAGCAAACATACTTACTCTTTAGACTGCTCTAACTTCTTAGCTGCCTCTTTCTTTAGTTTTTCCTTTTCTAGGTATTCTTCAAGTTCTTTTCCTTCCAACTTGACACGTTTTCTCAACTGCAGATGGAATTAAAGTTAATGTTATTGTGAGTAGCTGACACAACTTTAATACTTCTCCTATATGCTGCTGACAAGAATATTTGTCCTTGGGCACCAAGGGCAAGTATAAATTGTATGTTGCACACAAAACAAGACTATGGCAAAAATGTGGTACCTTGACATCATGATAGTGTCAATTTGTACAGTCTACTTTAAATGAAAGCATTTCTAAAACATTAGAATCAATTAAGCTTTACAAAAAATAATTGAAGGCAAATGCTCTTAGATGAGCAGTGTATTTTTTAGTTTTCCATCATTAACACCAAACCAGAAGAACCCCGAAAGGTCATACTAGCTGGCAAAACAATGGTAGATTTTGTTTCTTGTTTTCTGAGTACAGCTCACTTTGAATAAACTGAATTCTAGTAATAATCTAATACTATAATTCTATTAATTTCAATCCAATCTAAAACCAAAATAAAGCTGCATCATCAGTATTGAAATTTTCACTGCAATCACAGGGGACTTCCATAAATTAACAATGTGCACCAGAAAGAAGTAGACACAGGTGTACAGATTATTAAAAACAATTTGAAAGCATGAATAGCAATTAATTATCTCCTAATTTCCAGCATTTGCTTATCCTTCTAATCCTGTTGGGATATATTATATTAATTTGACTTGATTCTCCTCTCACCCAAACCAGGAGAATTTTCCAGCAAGACTAACCCATCACATGTGGTAATTTGTACGTCAGCTGCAAGCAGACTTTTTTCTATTATAATAGAAACACAAAGGAACAAGTTGTCTAAGAATAAATATTTAAAAGGAACTTCATGCTCAGCTCTATTAATTTTGCCATGCCGTGAAAAAGCATTTTGCGGCTCTCAGTAGGAGACCTATTTTCATGTAAATTTATCCACAATCTGATAAATATGCAACATACTGATTTCAGGTTTCTCACCACCACTAGAAGCATTTCCAGAAGATCAAAAGGGAAATTATGTTCAGTTTTGCCCACAGGACTCCAGATGGCCCACAATAAAAACCTGGAGTTATAGAAACAACTCTTACCTCAATATCTATAACTTTTTCAGAAGGATTATCAATCAGGAATCGTGCTAATGTTCCAGGTGTAGTGCGATAAGTTAAAATTATGGAGTTTTTGGAATCCTGGCACCACTGAATGAAAAGATCTCTAGAAAACCCACACTCCAAGTCAGGCTGACTCGCAAGAACAACTTTTGGACTAGGCACTCGAGCCAGATCAGACAGACTGTGACATAAGGAGAGATGGCGGAACTGAAAAGGGTTGTTTCTCTTGTCTTCAAAGCACCTCATCAACTTGTCACTCATCCATTCAACCTAAAATATGTATTAGAGAAAGTTATCTACACAAATACAAGTTGTTCAACAGTACAAGCTTCATATGAAGTACAGGATGCACTATGCCCATGATTACTTCAGTATTTCTTAGCAGGTGAAGAAATAATGTTGAGCATAACCAACACTGAAACAAGTACTTTAAGTTCTCTTTTTCAACAACTATAAACTATGCTAACAAGTCTTATTGTAAAGACAGAAATCAGTATCAAGAAACATGCCCACTGTCACAAAGCGACAGTGTATTACTTGATCAAAAGAGCTGAGACACAAACATGCACTACAGAAGGACATTCCCCCAGTATTTTGCCATTTTTTACCATTAAAAAGAAAAGCTTTTGCATAGATGTTCCTTTACTCTTCATAACTGGATTTTAAAATCAAAACAAACCTGTGATTTAGAGAATTCCACTACATTGTAGCTGACATTATTCAAAAGTGCAAGAGAGTAGACTCCTAATCCTGCATCTTTTGTTCTCCAGATCTGATCAAGAAGCTGAGCAAGCTCCAGAACTCTGCCTGCTGTATCCACGGCTATTAATACATTTCCATCACCTCGTAATGTCTCCAAAACATTAGCTAGGAAGAATTAAAAACAAAACAAAAGCCTATTTATACTTTTGTCCAAAGTTAGAAGGTTTGTGCTGTGGCTTGGATTTTTTTTTTGTTGTTATATCACACTAGCAATCATATTCAAAAGTATACTGAACACAGAAACAAATGAAACTTCAAAAGAGATCCAAATCCACACTCCCACCAAAAATTAAAGGGAGCTGGAGTTTTCTCAGTAGCTCTGAAGATCTCTCTGCCTTGGTATTTCTTTCTTTTGTTTGTTTGTTTTTGGGTTTTTTCATTAAAAACCAACAGAAAATGGAGTTTATAAAAAGAAAGTGCTGAGGAAGGTAATTTAAAAATCCCTGAAGAGATTTAAGAATACTGGGTAAAATACACTGTTTTCAAATATAGTTCATTGTTGTTAGGAAAACATTTAACTAACAGGATCAGTATTATCAGAAAAGAGTAATTCAAAACTTGTTACATTTTAATGAGGGTTCTTAAGTTTAAATGCTAACGAATTTCTCATAGAAAAATAATTTATAGTGTCTAATAAATCACATTACTGATATTTTTGAAGCCCAAACAATACATACTCAGCAGCTGTTCATCCCTTTGCTTCCTCCTGGGTTGTACATAAGTAGCATTAAATGAATCTGTAATAAGCAATGAAGGCCTGCTCAACATTTCCAAGGAACATCCATTCAGATGGCTGTGGAAAAAAGGAAAAATCTCACTTTTTTGCATTTCTATTTTACAAGAAAAAATAAGGCAGCTAGATTCCAGATATTTGCATGTACAGAAACCAAACTACTCAGCTGCTGAATGCTTCCTGCTTCAAATTTACAAATAAATAAAAACGAATAGAATAAAGAAACCCAGAGCTAATGCTTGCTTCAAACTGATTAATCTGAATGCAAATGAAATTAGTGGTCTTATTAGAACTGGATATGCATTTCTGCTTCCACACCTCTTTATCACCCACTAAATGACACACAGCTAACACAGCTAAGAACTATACACCACTATGTTGAACTTACATCTCCCTCTTGTGGTTGAAATCAACGGCATAAACAATTTCTTCCTCCCCATCCTTGACAATCTTCCAAATTGTGCCTCCTATCATGTGACCAGCCGGCAATGGTGTGATTGACAAACCATGTCCTTTGCCTACAAAGGTTTTCAGTATTTTAGGTAGATTACACATATTAAAATCCATTATTCTGAACAAGACATAGTAACTTTAAACAACTGAATACCCAAATTACTACTGAGAAAAATATCAAATTAAGTATGAAAAACCAGTCATATCTGTCCTTCCCATCTAAGCAGTAATGTCAATATATTTTGCAATTCACTTTTATATTTCCTCCAGAATAAAGAAACTAAAGCAAAGATCACTTCTTCCCTCCACCTCCCACTGATACTCAGAGCCGCTGTAACTACAGACATAAACAACAGTAAATTATATAAAAAACATATCACAAGAAAGCAAGCATAATGATGAAAGCCAGGATCTTCTCTGGGGCAACACTAAATGTTTACTGTATCATTCACTTTTGAGGTACCTAGGAAAACTTATATAAATTACACAATCTGGAAGCTTTCCAGAATGATAAACGCAAGTTAAACCATAGCAGAAAAGGTGTTCAGAAAAGGTGCTGCAGTCAGGGATGAGAGAACTTTTCAGCACCTGATGCATTTTTCAAATGCACTGTTGCTCCCTTGTCATTGATACCAGCCTGTATGTTTGTCAGATTAAAACAAGACCACCCACAACCATTACTCACTGACCCTGCTGCATTAAATGCATATGTTTAAATAATTAAACATATATTATCGTCTTAAAAGCCTCCATCAAGTCTTTCCAAATCACCTCCATTAAATATAAAAGAAGTTGGTTGTTTTAAAACGGTTGTATGATAACACTGCTCTTTAGATGTAAAAATTGCCAGGGTAGACATAGCCTTGCTACAACTATCTCAAAAAGGGGCCAACAGTTTTTCAAGGACAACATCTTCTTTCTATTTTCCAAATAAGAAGGCAGGAATTTTGGCAGCACTATTCATGAACCTGTAAAATACTGCACTTCAGAGACAAACTGCTGGTGGTCAGCCTGTACGTGTCTCTGTTCAAGAAGAGTTGTTATTTTATTCTGATCTTTACATTCAACACGAGTGGAAAGCTGCTGATTGTCACAGGTGCCAGCAATACACTACACTGATTATGATCTGAGTCACTGAAGATGTCCCCATTAAATCATGCACATGCTGTAACTTCATCTCTGCAACCTCCTCTACAAAGCTTTCCCTTGTGTTATTGTTATGGAGAGTTCTGAGGTATCTGCCGCTAGAGGTAAGTAAACACTTTCAACAGACATCAGTAAATTCCAAGAAGAGAAGTTACAAAAACACAAAAGAGAAACAAACATCTAAACATTGTTTGGCATGACCTCCTCCTCATTAAGTGAAAATTCTATCCATTTCTAGATACAATTGCAAGTGATACAGACTGACATGAGACTAATGAATCAGCACTGCAAAACACACAGTATTTCAAAACTCAGTCCCTTTAGTGAAGTTTCTTTAACTCTTAACTGCTCTCTTGCCTTTCACTAATAGTAATGTCTTGAGGCTTTGGTGACAACTTTACCTTTTAAGTTCACAATCTGAGAAAACTTCAGCTGTTGTATCTTATCAAAGGCTGCATCTACATCATCCAATGTAAAGAGTGTGAAATCTTCAGTATTATGGCGGGACTAAAACAAACAAAGAGGTACAGAGCATTCAAACACTCCACCATATCAAAGGTGTTGTGGATGAAAGCATCAACTTAAACATACCTGGTAGAGATCATACATAAACATCTGTCCCATTTTATATACAGGAATAGTTGCATAAATGGCACAATTCAATCCCATTTTTCCAACTGCATATGGAAGTGCACCAAGGTGTAGAGGATCAGGGTGGGAAAGAAGAACAGCATCAACCTGGTGTACATGCCTATAAAAAGAGGGTCAACAAAAGCCACTGAAAGGAGCTCTGTATGGTTTTGTCTATCTCCTGCTAGGGCTGTTTTGAGAATACATACACAGTCTGAACGCCAAACTACGAAACTTAAACCCTTCAGGAACTGACAGTTTTCAAAATCATAATTAAAACGTACAGGTGTTTCCTAATGTCCAAGTACTTAAAAACACAAGTAACTTCAGAAAGCATAACTTTGAAGATCTGAAGAAGAAACTTTCACATCAAACTCCGATGAGAAAGACCTTAGTATATAAGTGGACACCAGAAAGTAAATTAACTGAGGGACCAAGAATATTATCAGTACAGATGTGCTACAAACTGCTTATGCACCCCAAAACAGACTAAAATTTTTCTTCTGATGAGAGTGACCAAGTAACAGGATCAAAGACACAACAATCTTTAAACTGATAAAGATCAAATCAAAATATATTTCTTTAAATATAGAAAATATCAAACATATCATTTAAGAAAAGTAGCACATCAGTTTGGGGGATTTTATTACACTTAAAACCTTTTTTTTTCCTTGCAAAGTGTTGCAGAAAATTAGAACTCAGACTAAAACCTTTCTACATATCATAACTAAAAAACTTGAGGGCATAAAACACATGTAACAAATGAAAATACAAGCTGAACTGACAGCTTTTTGTTCCCTTGCATAGTAAGTGGGGCACACAGCCATTCTTCTCGATGGCTGTTATGAAAAAGGGGAATTTTATCTAATTGCTTCTTAGATAAGACACTTGAAAAATTTTATAAACTACCCTCAGTACCTAACAACCCTCACTTAAAAGATTTCAAACACTGCGTGTCAATGCTACAAAACCATAACAAAAAGCGCAGCTTCTCTCCCAAATTTCCATGTTTCAGTCCTAATGCAATCAGCACAGCTCCTTGCTGTACACCTGAAGAAGTTCAGTATTGAAGTCTAGATAGATTTTGGTTTGAAGGGGTTTTTTCCCTTTGCAGGGCTGGTGTCCTGACAGAAGGTGTTTTTCTAACAGTCTATTTAACTTGAAACAAGACCCATGAGTTGAAATGCTTTGTCTTCAGCCTGCTTGCAGGAAAGCTTCCTTTCCTATTAAAAACTTAGTTAACAATTCCAAATTAGCTGAGAGTCAAGGTCAGTCTCCCCTAAACTGTGTCACATTTATGACAATAAAACAAATCATCCAAACCAAAACAAAAACTGAACAGTTTGAGAATTACAGTTGAGACACAATTCACTGGACTGAAAAGAAAAAAATCCCAAGTTTTTGCGGGAAATGTTTCAGCAGTGTGATTCCCTTCACGTGAAATATACCCAAAACAAAACAAATGAACAATTCTGCACTTAGCATACATTATACCACTGCATGAAACTTTGAAAACTTTCAAGATAGACCAAGCCCTATTTTAAAAATAGGTGTATGAACTGAACTACTTACTTCCTCAGAGAATCAATAATATCCATAGAAAAGTTTTCATCCCAGCCACAGTCCAAAAGAAAACGAAACTCATCTACTTGCAAAAGATAGCAGAGGGCAGATTCCTCCTGCACCCCCGAGAGCGTAGTCAACTTGATAATCGATGTCATTTTCCTCTCCAAGTGTTTAATCTCCAAAAGAACTAATCTGAATGGGGGACAAAATGTTTCGTTGACTGACACAAAGAAAAATTCCATTTACTGAAATCTAGCTTCACATATTCCTGAAAATATGCAGACTAACGGTGTTAATACTGTTCAGTACAGCTGCTCGATGCCAATTAAGTCTCAGATATTAACATTCTACTCTTGCAGGTCTTATTAGAAAGAGATGCGGTTAATTTTCTACAATATACATTAAGAATATTTTTTTTAAGAATCCATAGGAGCAGCGCAGTTAACAGCAGCTCCACGGAGCTGCATGGGGCACCCAGAGATGGCACATCCAGAGACGCGACCCCTCAAACGCAGGGCCTGCCCGACCAGGGCCACAGCGCGGGCGGGCCGGGGGCTCCGCGCGGGGGCTCCGCGGCTCCAGCGCCCCACCGGGCCCGGGCCTGGCGCCCGGGCCTGGCCTCTCGCCGGGCGGGGACGGGGTCACGGGGACGAGCCCTACGCCCACTCCAGTCCGAGACGAGAACAAGGGGAAGAGGAGGATGATGTGAAAAAGCCGATACCTGCGCCCTCAACCACCCCCAGCCCGCGCCGCGCTCGCCGCCATCTTGCGGGAGGCGGGGAGGAGGGGCAGCCGGCGGAAGGGTAGCGGGCGGCACCACCGCGAGCCCGCCGGGGGGAGGGCGCTCCTCCCCCGCCGCTGCGCCGCCCGTGGTCTCGCCCGGCCCGCCCGTTCCCGGTGCCCTTGGCGCGGCCGCTGCGGGTCCCGGTGCTGGCGCGAGCAGCGGTAATGGCGGGGTCGCGCGCGGGGCTGGGGGCAGAATCGGTCGGACCTCCCTGGGAGCGCCTCGCCCTGTCCCCTACCCCTTCGGCCGGGGCACGGCGGCGGGCGGGAGCGCCCCTCAGCCGTGGGGCTTTATGGCGCTATTGCTGCTGGAGGGGCGGTCGGGGTCCCGGGCAGGCCGGGGCGGCGCAGCCGGGAGGTGGTGGGGCCGTGTCCCGAGCCAGCGGCCGGGCCCGGGGGTCCCGCGGGGGGTGCGTGCGGGGCCGCCCCACAGCGGCCGCGGCGGGAACGGCGGCGGGGCTCGCCCTCGGGACCCGGCCCGGGCTCCGAGCCCTTGGCTGTGTGTGTGACAGACTTCACCGGTATCGCGTGTAAGCCCTTAGTCGGGAAGGCTTTGGTTGGGTTGGAAAGGTTTGCTGGGGCTCGTTAGTCTGAGAAGAGAAGAATGCGAGGGGATCTCGTTAATGCCTGTCAATACCTCAAAGGTGGGTGCCAGCTCTTTTCATTGGTGCCCAGCAACGGGTCAAGGAGCAATGCCCATAAATTAAAACACAAGGCGTTCTGCTTCAAGATGAGGAAGGACTTCTATAAATTGAGGGTGACAGAGCACTGCACAGCTGGTCATGGAGTCTCCCTCTCTGGAGACATTAAAAAACCACCTGGATGTGTTCCTGTGTCATCTGCTGCAGGTGATCCTGCCTTGGCAGGGAGGTTTGACTGGATGATCTCAAGAAGTCCATCCCAGCTGTCATAATTCTGTCATTCTGTGATTTTAGAAATGTTCTTCCTTATTTCAGAAATGTCCTTTCTTATCTGTCAGCTCCCCACTAAATATACAACTTGTCTTTGAGACTTGACACAGATAATAAAATGTCCTTCTACAGGAGTTTAGGCTATGAAAGTGTTCCTAATGTTTTACAGAGCCGCAAACTTCTGTAGAGTTGCTTTAATGAGTAAATTAAAGAGATGTGTCTATTTCTGTCCTGTTTTAGGATGAAATTCTTTTTCCCAGGGTCAACAGTTAGGGTTATTTCTAAGAAACCCAGGTATGGGTTTGAGAACAGCGTGTGTCTCCTAGGGAGTGTTTGATAGCCCTCACGTGTATTATGTCATTGTAGAATCCTAATAAGTGAGAGTAAAGCTGCCAAGCATGCAACAGTTTCCAAGTGCGGATTTATTAGTACCTCTTACCTGTTATGCTTTTCTTTCTAGCAGTCATGGTGAATTTCGCCCAAGCTGTGCGTGAACACTGGGTTCACATCCTTGTTCCCTTAGGATTTGTGATTGGATGCTATTTGGACAGATGGAATGATGAAAGATTGTCTGCCTTCAGAAACAAGAGCTTATTGTATAAAAGGTCTGCTTTATGATGCCTCTTATATACATATATAGTTATTTTTCAAAGTGCTTCTCAGTTCTTTTTTAATTATGAATGTAACCAAAAAAGGGGAAGAAAGGCCTAAAAGTATCAAGCATTCATGAAGTGTTTTAGGTCAGTAATACCTACTGAAAATGGAATCTTTAGGAGCTATCTTCATGAAAGAAAGGATCATTAGCTACTGTCACGTTCTTGGTCATGAAATATGGAAACTATTATTTTGACTCTATAACTTCAGCAGGAAACATGGTGCTTGAGTTATAATTTTCGCTCTTAAATTTAAAATTATCACAGTGCTTTTTAACCAAATACTTCTTATAAATGTGTGGTACTTAAAAATAATTACCAAGTTCTTGAAAATTAACATACATGCTGCTATATCTTCACTGAATTATGTGATTATATGCACTGATCAGTTTGGGTTTTCTGGCTCTTCACTCCTCAGGGAGTATTTACATCAGAGAACTGCAGACATTGACTCATCTGTGTCAGTTCTAATTCTGTATTAGATCATCAGGTTAACAAAAGAAGAGGGAAAAAAGTCATGTTGCATAAACACTGATAGTAGGAGTGCTATCAGTTTGCCAGTGGATTTTTCTTCCAACTCTGGCCTCACCTAAATTAATTTTGAGTAAGAAAGAAAGCTTTTGACATAATCTACCCCACTGGTACATTAGCACTTTTCTTAATGTATTTGTTAGTGAAGTTGGGCTGCAATGTCAGCATCTAGTAAAAATCCCTTCTTCTTTCACACCTCTCTTTCCATTAAAGCAATGAATTATTATGTTTAAAAGAAGTAGAATTTTTCATTTAGGATCCAATTAAAAGTCTGTTAACTCCTTAGAAGTCAGCTGTTTTGTGCTTCCATTTAAATGAATGGAAATTCAGAGGACTCAATCCATTGAAGCTTTTGAAAGAAAGGAGGAAGTTTATCAGTATGGAAAGATTTTTAACTGACAGCAATTGCAAGGAAAGTTAAAATTTTACATAAATCTCACAATGAAGGTATTGTTGAATATAAACTAACACAAATAAGTACATTTATTAATAATTATTCTAGAAAGAAAGATACTAATTTTAGTCTCTTCCCTCTTGGTTTTTGGTTTTTTTTTTTTTTTTTTTTTTTTTTTTTTTTTTTTTTTTTGTACAGGGAGTTGAAGCCTGGTGAAGAAGCAACATGGAGATAAAAGCTGATGATGAAAAGGAAGACATTTTTGTTTGATTCATCATCTTACCTTACATTTTGAAAGAACAGGAATATGGTTTTTACCCTGAGAGGATACTACAGTAAAGGACATCTGCAATTCATCAGTGCTAGTTTAATTTCTGGTGTTACTTTTTGAAGTTGATTTAATTACATGACTAATATGTGTTCAGGAATTCCATTAGTCCATAAGCGTTGAGAAAATTTTCTTCCCTGCTGTGGAAAGGAGAGGAAGAACTATAGAATAAACTATGCAAAAATCATTTATGTTGTTATTGTTGTGTGTGGTGGGGAATCCACGTGTTTATAGCTATTTCATGAACTAGCCTTTAAAGGAATACTTCCACAAACCCAGAATGTTACCCAGAAACTGAACCTGCTTAAGTTTCTTTCTGGGTTTCCTCTGTAGGCTTGTTTGGGGCAGTGGTTAAGCAGTTACTGCGGCTTTGTGAGCGGACCAGGAGGGTGTAAGGGGCTGGAGCGGGCGGGGCCGGGCGCTGCTCCGCTCGGTACCGGGAGGAGCGGTGCCGGGCC